GTAAATGCTAAAGTTTAATTAAAACAGAGAATAGAAAAACAATAGAGAAAACCAGCAAAACCAAAAGTTGGTTCTTTGAAAAGAACAAAATTGACAATATGAATATTCTCTTTTTTTTCTTTTGTCGATCTAGCTGAAGATTAAGACTCACATGCTAAAATCAGAAATAAAAATGGGAACATTACAACCAATTCTGCAGAAATAAAAAGGATTCTGAGAGTACTACAAACAATTGTATGCCAATAAATTGGATAACCTATTCAAAATGGACAAATTCCTAGAAACATAAAACTTACAAAGACTGAAACACAAAGAAATAGAAAATCGGAATAGACCCAAAGTAAGTAAGCAGATTGAATTAGTAATCAAAACATCCTGACAAAGAAAAGCCCTGGACCTGATGACTTCACTGGTGAATTCTACCAAACATTTAAAGATGAAATAACAGCAATCTTCTCAAACTTCAAAACAATTGAAGTAAAGGAAACACTTCCTAACTCCTTCCATGAGTCCAGCATTGCCCTGATACTAAAGCCAAAGACATTACAAGAAAAAACTATAGACATACATCCCTTAGGAATATTGATGCAAAAATCCTCAACAAAATATAAGCAAACATAATTCAGCAGCATATGAAAAGGACTATATACCATGACCAAGAGGGATTTATTCCTAGAATGCAAGGTTGATTCAACATATGGAAATCAATCAATGTAATACATCATATTAACATAATGAAGGAAAAAGACCACATGATCATCTCAACTGATGCAGGAAAAAACACTTGACAAAATTCAATACTCTTTCATGATAAAAACACCCACCAAACTAGAAGTAGAAGGAAACTACCTCAGCATAAAGCCATATATTAAAAACCCCCAATTATCACCATACTCATTGGTGAAAGACTGAAAGCTTTTCCTCTAAGAGCGGGAACAAGACAAGGATGCTCACTTTTACCACTTCTATTCAACATGGTACTGTAAGTTCTAGTAAGAGCAATTAGGCAAGAAAAAGAAATAAAAGTCATTCAAATTGGAAAGAAGTAAAATTACCTATTTGCCGATGACATGATCTTATATGTAGATAACCCTACAGATTCCACACAAAACCCATTAGAACTAATAATTATGAATTCAACAAAATAGTAGGATACAAAATCAACATGCAAAAATTTGTTGCATTTCTATTAACAAGGAACAATTGAAAAAGAAAATAATTGCATTTACAATATATCAAAAAGAATACTTAAGGGGCACCTGGCTGGCTCAGTTAGAGGAGTGTATAACTATTGATCTCAGGGTTGTTGAGTTCGAGCCCACATTGTTTGTAGAGATTACCTAAAAATTTTTTTAAAAAGAATATTTAAAAATTAACCGCGGGGTGAAAGACCTATATAAAGAAAGCTTCAAAACACTGCTGAAAGAAATTAAAGAAGACATAAATGGAAAGACATCCCATTTCCATGGATTGGAGGACTTAATATTATTAAGATGTTATATTACCCAAACGGATCTACAGATTCAATGCAATCTCTATTAAAATCCCAAGGACATTCTTTGCAGAAATAGAAAAATCCTCTAATTCATATGGAATCTCAAGGGACTCCAAATAGTCAAAACAATTTTGACAGATATGAACAAAGTTGGAAGACTCACACTTCCTGATTACAAAATTTACTACAATGCTACAGTGATAAAAACAGAATGAAAATCCTGGATATAAACCCTCATATATATGTTTAAATGATTTTCAACAAGGACACCAAGACCATGCAGTGGGGACAGCATAGTCTCTTCAACAAATGGTATTGGGAAAACTGGATATCCACATGCAAAAGAATGAAACTGGACCCTTACTTAACACTATATACAAAAATTAATTCAAAATGGATCAAAGACCTAAACATGAGAGCTAAAACTATAAATTCATAGAAGAAAACTTAGGGGGAAAGCCTGATGACATTAGATTTGGCAGTAATTTCTTGGATATGACACCAAAAACACAGGCAACAATAGAAAAAATAAACAAACTTCATCAAAATCAAAAACTTTTGTGCATCAAAGGACAACAGAGTAAAAAAGCAACCCACAGAACGGGTGAAAATATTTGGAAATCACATTACCTGGTGAAAGATTAATAGCAAGAATATCTAGAGAATTCCTAACACTCAACAGAAAAAAATTTTTTAAATGGGTAAATGACTAGAATAGATATTTTTCAAAGAAGATATACAAATGGCCAACAATCACATGAAAAGATACACAATGTCACTAATCACAAAAGAAATACAAATCAAAACCATAATGAGATAACATTTCATGCCCATTAGGATGGTCACTATCAGAAAAACAAAAAATACAAGTGCTGATGAGGATGTGGAAAAACTGAAACCCTTGTGCATAGCTGGGGTTAAACGGTGTAGCTGCTATAGAAAACAGTGTGGTGATTTCTTCAAAAATTAAAAATAGAATTACCATATGATCCAGCAATTCCACTTCTGGATATATGCCCAATATAATGGAAGACAGGGTCTTGAATAGATATTTGTATACCTATGATCAAAGCAGCATTATTCACAATAGCCAACAGATGGAAGTAACCCAAGTGTCCATCAATGAATGAATGAATAAACAAAATGTGATATATACATACAATGGAATATTATTCAGCCCTAAAATGGAAAAAAAAAATGACACCTGCTACAACAGTGATGAACCCCAAGAACATATGCTAATAATGTATGATTCCACTTATCTGAGGTACCTAAAAGGGTTAAATTTATAGCGACAGAAAGTAAAATGATGGTTGCCAGGGGCTATATGGGGAGAGGTGAATAGGGAACAGTTGTTTGATGGGTATAGAGTTTTAATTCTGCAAGATGAAGAGAGTTTTAGAGATTGGGTGCACAACAGTGTGAATGTACATAATGCCACAGAACTGTACACTTAAAAATGGTTAAGATAGTAAGTTTTATGTTATATGTATTTACCAAATTTTTTTAAAAGATTTTATTTATTTATTTGAGAGAGTGAGAGAGAGCATAAGAGTGGGGTAAGGGGCAGAGGGAGAAGCAAACTAAGCAGGGAGCCCAAGGTGGGACTCAATCCTGGGACTCCAGGATCATGACCTGAGCTGAAGGCAGACGCTTAACTGACTGAGCCACCCAGGTGCCCTGTATTTACAAAATTTTTAAAACTTTTAAAATTTTTCTTAAGTTGTCTCTATGCTCAACATAGGGCTCAAACTCATGACCCTGAGATCAAGAGTCACATAGTTCACCGAATAAGCCAGCCAGGCACCCCACCAATTTTTTTTTAAAGGCTATAAATACTTTTTAAAAAAAGAGACACTGGGGAAATTTTTAAAATTATTTGTTGTTATTAACAAGCTTGATAAGTTTGTGCATGTTATTTATTCAGTTTTCATTTCCTCATGTGTAAAATGAGGAGTTAGATTGAATTATCTATAAGACCCTGAAATTTGTCTAATTCTGACCCTAGTTGTCTGATACGATTCTCTGGTTCATCTTCATTTTTGAGTTCAAGAAATAATTATTGAGAAGGTACTGTGGAGAAGACACAGTAGTAGATGCATGAGAGACACAAAGATGAATACGAATGGGTTCCTACCTTCATGGAGGTTTCAATCTAGTTTGGTTGGAGAAGGTAGGGGCACAAAACAGATATACTTGGCTTCCGTTATTAAACATTTGTTTCCGAATCTCCTCAAGATCAGTCTAAAGATCAACCTCTTTTGGGGCGCCTGGGTGGCTCAGTTGGTTAAGCGACTGCCTTCGGCTCAGGTCATGATCCTGAAGTCCCAGGATCGAGTCCCGCATCGGGCTCCCTGCTCGGCAGGGAGTCTGCTTCTCCCTCTGGCCCTCCTCCCTCTCATGCTCTCTGTCTCTCATTCTCTCTCTCTCTCAAATAAATAAAATCTTAAAAAAAAAAAAAAATTTAAGATCAACCTCTTTTGTCCCCTTGCCCTATACAGTTTCTAAATCCTAATTACCATGCTTTTCTTATGCAGAACCATTTAGAATCATCAAAGCATGCTCAAAACTAAATCTCAAGGGACCCCCAGGTCTGGGAGATGTCCTCTCAGGTGAGGTTTATAAAGCATTCAGCTATCAGTGGGTAACGTCTTATATGGGGACTCATATAACCTGTTAAAGCAAGGAAGATTTTTCCAATATTGTTCTACGTAAAACAAATAACAATGGAATACAGAACGAGTTAAGTGCAAAATAAAGACATAAAAATATACTGTGAAAATGTAGAGAAGAAATATTTAAATCCTGGCTGGGAAGTTAAGGAAAGTTAGGTAGAAATGTAGCATTACTGGAGCTTGAATAGCTGTAAATTTATCAAAAGAGGTTTTATTTTATCTTTAAATCTCTGGAACCCTACTCAGTGACTGGTACATTGTACATACTCAAGAAACTGGATAAATAAAAAAATGTGTAAGATAAGTTAGAAAAGAGAAAAGACATCATAGGCAGAGGGTTCAGCATGAAAAGTATCACAATCTTATGCATGGCATGTTTGGAGCAGTGAATAGTCTAGAGTGCCCTTAGGATGGAGGGATTTAGTAGATCAGGCTAGAAAAGGAAGGCCAGGCATTTGTATTACAAGCTCTTAGAGGGCAGAGAGAATTTTATCTCCCATCTACTGCAGAGCCTAATGTGTCATCGTCCAGCCAATGAGTAAAGATTATGAAGGGAAACTTCTGTATCTGGTAACATGTCACACTATAACCATATTTCATATTACAAAACATTGAGACATCCTGGATAAAATATAGCAAATGCCCTTTTTAATACATAGATGAGCTCAGAAGGAAAAAAAAATCTCCAAGGATCAAAAATTGAAGAAATTGCAAACCAGAGGCATAAACACCTGACTTTTTGAAACCGCTGTTCTGAAAGTTTTGCTGGACTTAGTAATGAAGTACCTTGAGTTTTTTGGGGTTTTTTTTAACATTTTTTAAATTTTATTATGTTATGTTAATCACCATACATTACATCATTAGTTCTTGATGTAGTGTTCCATGATTCATTGTTTGCGTATAACACCCAGTGCTCCATGCAGAACGTGCCCTCCTCAATACCCACCACCAGGCTAACCCATCCTCCCACCCCCCTCCCATCCGGAACCCTCAGTTTGTTTCTCAGAGTCGATAGTCTCTCATGGTTCGTCTCCCCCACCGATTTCTGCCCCCTTCATTAACACATAAGTGGGATCATAAGACAAGATTTTAGGTAGGTATTGCAATTCCCGTCCAAAGATGAGGCTTCATTTCAATAAAAGGATAAATTAGGAAAAGCCACCCTGCCACTCAGGAAGAACGAAATCTACCCTGAGAATTCATAAAAACTCATGACAAGGGAATCTGAGGTCGTGTGATGCCTCGATAATGGTGAGCATGATTATAGGCTAACTTCATGAGAACAGCTTCAGGGTCATAAAATATTCCTCCAAGAAAATATAGGGTAATTTATTTAAACAACTTATTATCACTACTCAGATTGTTTCTGCTTTCTTGTTAGGATAAATGATACAGCAATGAATGACTTTGTATCGATTAACTATTGCTGCCTAATAAACCATGCCAAACTTTATTGGTTAAAACAACCACAACTGTTGATCTGCTGGGTCATTCTTCTGGCCTGGGCCAGATTCAACTGATCTTAGCTGGGCATATGCATGAGTCTATACTCAGCAGCAGGTTGGGCAGACAGGTTTGCTGATCTCTCTCATTTCTCATGAGCAATCTTGCCTCTGGTCCATGTGGTCATTCACTTTGTCGCAGGCTAGCCCAGTTGTTTACGTGGCACCTAGACAGGGTTCCAACAGCCTGCAAAGAAGCATGCAAATGCTCTTCAGACTTAGGCTCAGAACTGGCTAGCACAACCTCACTTTCCTTGCATTCTTTGTTTAAAGCTTATCACAGGGGCACCTGGGTGGCTTAGCTGGTTGAGCGTCTGCCTTCCGCTCGAGTCATGATCTTGGGATCGAGCCCCGTGTCGGGCTCCCTGCTCAGCGGGGAGTCTGCTTCTCCCTCTCCCTCTGCTTCTTCCCTCCACTTGTGCTCCCTCTCAAATGAATAAATGAAAAATCTTTAAAAAAAAAAAAAGCTTATCATAAATACAATTCTGATTCAAAGAGAGGTTAAAACAGACTCCACCTCTTACCAGAGGGAGCTGCAAATTCACATGGCAAAGGGTGAGTCTACAGGGGTATGAAAAGCTGTGGGGATTTATCAATATATTACAGCCATCTTCATGTTTGTAAGGAACATTGTTTTTTTCAGTCAGCCACCATATGTATATTTATTCTACTTTCACCAGTAATATTCTACTTTCTTTCAAGGTAAATATTTCTTACCCAATGTGTGTACTCTTGTAGGACTGTAAATTAAGGTGTCCTGTGCTCCCACGTAATCTAACTAGGTGTGACAGATACTACTAATTGTCCCCAGCAGAACCAGAACTAGGCAATGAGGCACTTTGGGTACAAAATGTAAGGAGCACCCGCAATTGCACAGTCGCAAGAGTGAGTGTCTCTTTCGTTTTGCACCTAGGGCAACTTATTTGCCTCATCCTAGTCTGTACTCTGGTCCCCAGCATCCATTCTCTTCTTCCTTCTTTTTTTTTTTTTAATTTTATTATGTTATGTTAGTCACCATACAATACATCATTGGTTTTTGATGTGGTGATCCACGATCCATTGTTTTCGTGTAACACCCAGTGCTCCATGCAGTACGTGCCCTCCTTAATACCCATCACCGGGCTAACCAATACCCCTCCTCCCTCCCCTCTAAAACCCTGTTTGTTTCTCAGAGTCCATAGTCTCTCATGGTTCATTTTCCAATTCCCCCCCCCCATTTTTCCCTTCCTTCTCCTAATGTCCTCCATGCTATTCCTTATGTTCCACAAATAAGTGAAACCATATGATAATTGACTTTCTCTGCTTGACTTATTTCACTTAGCATAATCTCCTCCAGTCCCATCCGTGTTGATGTAAACGTTGGGTATTCATCCTTTCTGATGGCTGAGTAATATTCCATTGTATGTATGGACCACATCTTCTTTATCCATTCATCTGTTGAAGGGCATCTCGGCTCTTTCCACAGTTTGGCTATTGCGGACATTGCTGCTATGAACATTGGGGTGCATATGGCCCTTCTTTTCACTACATCTGTCTTTGGGATAAATACCCAGTAGTGCAATTGCTGGGTCATAGGGTAGCTCTATTTTTATTTTTTTGTTTTTTTACTTATTTTATTTATCTATTTTTTAAGATTTTATTTATTTATTTGAGACAGAGAGAATGAGAGACAGAGAGCATGAGAGGGAGGAGGGTCAGAGGGAGAAGCAGACTCCCCGCCGAGCAGGGAGCCCGATGTGGGACTCGATCCCGGGACTCCAGGACCATGACCTGAGCCGAAGGCAGTCGCCCAACCAACTGAGCCACCCAGGCGCCCAGGGTAGCTCTATTTTTAAATTTTTGAGGAACCTCCACACTGTTTTCCAAAGTGGCTGTAACAACTTGCATTCCCACCAACAGTGTAAGAGGGTTCCCCTTTCTCAACAACCTCTCCCACATTTGTTATTTCTCTCCCTGTCCATTTCTGCCATTCTAACTGGTATAAGGTGGTATCTCAATGTGGTTTTGATTTGGATTTCCCTGATGGCTAATGATGAACATTTTTTCATGTGTCTGTTAGCCATTTGTATGTCTTCTTCAGAGAAATGTCTTTTCATATCTTCTACCCACTTTTTGACTTGATTATTTGTTTTTTGGGTGTTGAGTTTGAGAAGTTCTTTATAGATCTTGGATACCGGCCCTTTATCTGTAGTGTCATTTGCAAATATCTTCTCCCATTCTGTGGGTTTCCTCTTTGTTTTGTTGACTGTTTCCTTTGCTGTGCAGAAGCTTTTTATCTTGAAGAAGTCCCAAAAGTTCATTTTTGCTTTTGTTTCACTAGCTTTTGGAGATGTATCTTGAAAGAAGTTGCTGTGGGTGATGTCAAAGAGGTTACTGCCTATGTTCTCCTGTAGGGTTTTGATGGATTCCTGTCTCACATTGTGAGCAAAGACCTCACATTGAGGTCTTTCATCCACTTTGAGTTTATCTTTGTGAATGGTGTTAGAGAATGGTCAAGTTTCATTCTTCTGCATGTGGCTGTCCAATTTTCCCAGCACCATTTATTGAAGAGACTGCCTTTTTTCCATTGCATGTTTTTTCCTGCTTTGTCAAAGATTATTTGACCATAGAGTTGAGGGTCCTTTTCTGGGTTCTCTATTCTGTTCCCTTGGTCTATATGTCTGTTTTTGTGCCAGTACCATGCTGTCTTGGTGATCACAGCTTTGTAATATAGCTTGAAATCGGGCAACATGATGCCCCTAGCTTTGGTTTTCTTTTTCAACATTACCTTGGCGATTCGGGGTCTTTTCTGATTCCATACAAATTTTAGGATTGTTTGTTCCAGCACTTTGAAAAATGTCATTGGAATTTTGATCAGGATGGCATTGAAGGTATAGATTGCTCTGGGTAGCATAGACATTTTAACAATGTTTATTCTTCCGATTCATGAGCATGGAATATTTTTCCATCTTTTTGTGTCTTCTTCAATTTCTTTCATGAGTGTTTTGTAGTTCCTAGAGTATAGATCCTTTACCTCTTTAGTTAGGTTTATTCTGAGGTATCTTATGGTTTTTGGTGCTATTGTAAATGGAATCGTTTCTCTAATTTCTCTTTCCATAGTTGCGTTGTTAGTGTATAAGAAAGCAACTGATTTCTGTGCACTGATTTTGTATCCTGCCACATTACTGAATTGCTGTATGAGTTCTAGTAATTTTGGGGTGGAGTCTTTTGGGTTTTCCACATAAAGTATCATGTCGTCTGCGAAAAGAGAGAGTTTGACTTCTTCTTTGCCAATTTGAATACCTTTTATTTCTTTTTGTTGTCTGACTGCTTGCTGCTAGGACTTCTAGTACTATGTTGAACAATAGTGGCAAGAGTGGGCATCCTTGACGTGTTCCTGATCTTACGGGAAAGGCTCTCAGCTTTTCCCCACTGAGGATGATATACACTGTGGGTTTTTCATAGATGGATTTTATGAACTTGAGGAATGTTCCCTCTATCCCTATACTCTGAAGAGTTTTAATCAGGAAAGGATGCTGCATTTTGTCAAATGCTTTTCTGCATCAATTGAGAAGACTGTATGGTTCTTCTCTCTCCTCTTATTAATGTGTTCTATCACATTGATTGATTTGCGAATGTTGAACCACCCTTGCATCCCGGGGATAAATCCCACTTGGTCGTGGTGGATGATCCCTTTAATGTATTGTTGGATCCTATTAGCTAGGATTTTGTTGAGAATTTTGGAATCCATATTCCTCAGGGATATCAGTCTAAAATTCTCCTTTTTGATGGGGTCTTTGCCTGGTTTGGGGATTAAGGTAATGCTGGCCTCATAGAATGAGTCTGGAAGCTTTCCTTCTGTTTCTGTTTTTTGAAACAGCTTCAGTAGAATAGGTATTATTTCTTCTTTGAATGTTTGGTAGAATTCCCCAGGGAATCCATCAGGCCCTGGACTCTTGTTTTTTGGGAGGTTTTTTGATCACTGCTTCAATCTCGTTATTGGTTATTGGCCTATTCAGGTTGTCAATTTCTTCCTGTTTCAGTCTTGGCAGCTTATAGATTTCCAGGAAGGCCTCCATTTCATCCAGATTGCTCAGTTTATTGGCATATAGTTGTTGATAATAATTTCTAATAATTGTTTCTATTTCCTTGGTGTTAGTTGCGATCTCTCCCCTTTCATTCATAATTTTATTAATTTGGGTCCTTTCTCTTTTCTTTTGGATAAGTCTGGCCAGTGGTTTATCGATCTTATTAATTCTTTCAAAGAACCAACTTCTAGTTTCGTTGATCTGATCTACTGTGTTTCTGGTTTCTAATTCATTGATTTCTCCTCTAATTTTAATTATTTCTCTTCTAATGCATGGCTTAGGCATCGTTTGTTGCTTTTTCTCTAGTTCTTTAAGGTGTAGAGTTAGTTGGTGAATTCGGGATTTTTCTGGTTTTTTGAGTGAGGCTTGGACGGCTATGTATTTCCCCCTTAGGACCGCCTTTGCAGTATCCCATAGGTTTTGGACCGATGTGTTTTCGTCCTCATTGATTTCCATGAATTGTTTAAGTTCTTCTTTGATTTCCTGGTTGACCCAAACATTCTTGAGCAAAGTGGTCTTTAGCTTCCAAGTATTTGAATTTCTGTCAATTTTTTTCTTGAGATTGAGTTCCAGTTTTAAAGCATTGTGGTCTGAGAATATGCAGGGAATAATCTCAGTCTCTGGTATCGGTTGAGAGCTGATTTGTGACCCAGTATGTGATCTATTCTGGAGAAAGTTCCATGTGCGCTCAAGAACAATGAATATTCTGTTGTTTTAGGGTGGAATGTTCTGTAAATATCTATGAAGTCCATCTGGTCCAATGTATCATTCAAAGCTCTTGTTTCCTTGCTGATTTTCTGCTTAGATGATCTGTCCATTGCTGAGAGTGGAGTATTGAGGTCTCCTACAATTAACGTATTGTTATCAATATGACTCTTTATTTTGGTTAACAGTTGGCTTATATAGATGGCTGCTCCCATGTTGGGGGCATAGATATTTACAATTGTTAGATCTTCTTGTTAGATAGACCCTTTAAGAATGATACAGTGTCCTTCTGTGTCTCTAATTACAGACTTTAGTTTAAAATCTAATTTGTCTGATATAAGAATTGCTACCCCAGCTTTCTTTTGAGGTCTGTTGGCATGGAAGATGGATCTCCATCCCTTCACTTTCAGTCTGG